GTGTGTCACAGACAAAATACAAAAGCCACAACTTAAAAAGGCCTAGAAGTTAATTCCTTCTTTTTTTTTTTTTTGAGTTGGAGTCTCACTCTGTCGCCCAGACTGGAGGGCAATGGCCGCTTCCGGCCACCGCAGCCTCAACCTGCTGGGCTCCGGCGATCCCTCCGCCTCAGCCTTCCAAGTAGCCGGAATTACAGGCGCGCGCTACCACGCCCGGCTGATTTTTTGATTTGTTGTAGAGATGAGGTCTCACTGCCCAGGCGGGTCTCGAACCCGCAGGCTCAGGCAATCCACTCACCTCAGCCTCCCAAAGGCGCGAGATTACAGGCTGAGCCACTGAGTCCGGCAGAAGTTAATTTCAAAAATACCATTGTGACTTCCTGGTAGGTAAGGACGTCTTTAATTCAAGTAACAGGAGCATTGCCAACCTGGACACAGGATATTAAGTGCTTCTGTTTCTCAGACCACACCAAGAGTGAAACACCTCAGAACGGAAGATTTTTACACCTTCTATATATTATCTTTCACAAATGTATCTTCTGTAAGTTAATTAGAAAAAGACAACTCAGCAGAAAAAGCAAGCAAATGGCCAGTAAAGGAGATGTAAATATGCTCAACTTCCGTGGCCACAGCAAATGCCAAGCCACAGAACTGAGTGGCAGGTGCTGTGTCTCAAACACTGAAACATAAAGGAGCCACAGTCTGGCAGTAGACATCTACTGCTGGCATAAGGGAAGGAATGCTGTTTTCTGGAGCACATAAGGAACTTCTATGCATCAGGCTGGGCTCACACCAGTAGTCTCAATGCTTTGGGAGGCCCAGGAGGGAGCATCACTTTGAGCCCAGGAGTTTGGTACCAGCCTGGGCAACACAGTGAGATTCCATCTTTACAAAAAAATAAATAAATAAATTAGTTGGAGACTGAGGCAGGAGGATCACTTGAGCCCAGGAGGCCGAGGCTGCATGAGCTATGATCACACCTTGGCAGCAGAGTGAGACCCTGTGTGTAAACAAAACAAAATTCATTAATCAGTAAGAAAAAATAGCAACCAATTCAAGCAACCTAATTACAAATGGGTCAAGGAAGTGAACGGAACCCTTCTGGAGCATGAGGTCCACACATATTTGGGAAGATGCCAGCCTCTGGAGTGGTCGGGAGACACAGAGAAACCACTGAAGACCCACGTCACCCTCCTCCGGACAGGTGACAGTTCAAGCCAGGGTCCCCCATGTGAGCCCAGGGTGTGCCAGCAATCAGCTGGTAGCCCCCAAGATCTGGAGACAGGTTCCATACAGCAGCGGGCAGAACTCAGGGGACCCAGAACATGGCACGTTCTTGGCAACCACCTCTCACCCACGGAGACCCAGGCACCTTTGGCTGTGCTTGTGGGCCAGGGGGGAGGAGCCGCCAGCCATCCCCCGCCCTGCTGATTTCTCCAAGCCACCCATGAGGAATCCCCCAGTGCCACCCACGTTTTAGGCGCATCTTAAAAGGACACCTTAGATCCTGTGAGACACGGTAGTGCCATCCGATGCCCTCATCCTTCCCTGTCTCTGCATGAGTGCCAGGAGGGTAAAGTGTGTGGCTGTGACCTTGCGCTGGCACCTGGCGCTGGCTTGGGGTGAGCTTGCTCCTGCCGTCTCATCTGTGGGGGTTGGGGGAGGCTGGAGACACCCACAGCCATGGCACTGGGGAATAGATGGGAGGCGGCTTCTGTTCCCACCGTGATCACACCACTGCACTCCAGCCTGGGTGACAGAGTGAGCCCTGACTCAAAAAAAAAGCCTTTCGTACCAAAATAGTTACCCATAAGCTGTGACTTTCTTTTTCCCTGACAGATGGTGCCCACCATTCTTACAGGATGAGGGACTGCTTCTATCCACAACTCATAGGCGGCGACCCCTCCCTGAGACACTCAACCTTCCCTTGATACATGCTGTAGAAACTAAGCTTGGTTCAAGAGCCTCCGCCATGGACACGGCCTGGGCACCCCCTTGTGTGTGGGGAGTTGCTGGTGCGCTCACAGCGGGCTGTCCCCCAGCACTGGTACAGGTGACAGCCCTGTGCAGGCCCGTCCAGCCTCTGTACCCCACCACCAATGCTGCTCCCCGGCCCCCTCGGATCCAGAATGGCCACCCCGCCCGCCCCAGATGCCACCCATGACTCATGAGGCCGTTGGCTCTGACACACACACCTCTTCTCCCAACACTGTCATCTGCATAGAGGGGCAGGGGCACCACGGCACTGTCATCGGTGGAGGGGCCGGGGCGCCGAATCACCGTCGCCAGTGGAGGGGCAGGGGCACTGCATTGCTGCTATCGGGGTGGAGGGGCAGGTGTGCTGTGTCACAGACCTCGACCCACTTTTACCAAGCGTCAGCTGGTGCAGCCGCCACAGTCCCAGACTGGGCCCCAGCCCGGACAGACAACATACCCTGCCGTGCCACTCAAAGAACATGTCTGTCCCCACAGCCCCATTCCTAGTTGTGTGTCACTCTGGTGAGCACGTGTCCTCCCCTGCCTTTGGACACCATGCTTAACACACACCCAGGGAACAGTCGGGGTGGTCCTCAAGGAGGACGAATACTGACTGCCGAAGCCCATGGCCTGGACTCTCTCTGGGCCTGATTCTGTACTGTCAACCGTAGTGCTCATCACTAATTCTCCCCAGGATCACAAAGTTTGAGCCCACCAGGGTGTGCCGGTCTGGGATGAGGAAATACACCAGGTTGCCCGAAAGACGTGGCGCTTGCGAGTGATCAGGAACATGACTCGGAGAAACACCCAGAAACCACTTAAATGATGTAATTATGAACCAGTGGTGCCAACATACTCCAACACGCTTTGCCCTCAGAGCACCTCAACACGGCATCGAGGGCTATTTGGCCCATCAACTTGTTCTGGTGGCAAGATGCCTCCTAAAACTGGACAAAATATTAGCAAATATCATTTAGGAACAAAATATCCTAGGGGGAACTCTGACAAGGACTGGAAGTCACTCATTTAAATATTAGAACAAGTACTTTAAAGTTTATTAGGCTGTATACTTAGCAGCTGTGCTTTTGGCAGACATGTTCGACCTTAACTTTGAAAAGAAAAAAGGGAGCCAGGCTTGGTGGCTCAGCCTGTAATCCCACGCTTGGGAGGCTGAGGTGAGTGGATTGCCTGAGTCCACGGGTTCGAGACCCGCCTGGGCAACTTGGCGAGACCTCATCTCTACAATAAATCAAAAAAAAAAAAATTAGCCAGGCGTGGTAGCGCGCACCTGTAGTTCCAGCTACTTGGAAGGCGGAGGTGGAAGGATCGTCGGAGCCCGGCAGGTCAAGGCTGCGGTGGCCAGGAGCGGCCACTGCTCTCCAGTCTGGGCAATAGAGTGAGACTCCAACTCAAAAAGAAAAAGAAAAGAAAAGAAAAAGCATTGTACTGTAATGAAAACAAAAACTTACCACCCAGAACAGGCGCAGAGGCCCATGTCTGTAATCCCAGTGCTTCGGGAGGCCGAGGCAGGAGGATCGCCTGAGCCCAGGAAGTCGAGGCTGTAGTGCGCCATGATTGTGCCACTGCACTCCAACCTGGGTGACAGGGTGAGACCCTGACTCAGAAAACAAAAACAAAAACTTACTACCTGGAAAAAAAAAGGAAAAAGTAGCTTCTTTAAAAAAAAAAAAATTAGGGAGCTTTATCAGTTCAACTAAAAATAACAACTTTAAAAAAAAACCCCAAACTAAATCCATGTCCCAAAGCGTCAACACTGCAATGTGTACACTGGGGCAGCGGCAGGGGCAATGTCTGGCAACAGAGAGCACCACCTGAGCCCCTGAGGCCCACAGCTGGGGTTTCTGCCTGCATGTCAACAGCACAGAATTCTCTACTTGTCAATAACCCACCATAGTAATAGTCATTCCTGGCCATAAAGGTAACTTCCTGTTCACGATGGCATGAACAAGAAAGCATTTGTATCATTCTTTCTAGAGCAAGCGGTCACTTCCTGCTGGAGCGTGGCCAGCCTGGGCCACGTGGGCTCTTCTTGACGTGGACCCTGAAAATGCATCACGTGCCATCAGCCAGGCTGTGTGCGGCCCCCTTGGCACGTCAGGACAGGCCCTCACCCCCAGCAGGCTGTGCACACGTGAGGCCAACACGCCCTGGCTTCTGAGAGGTAGGTGGGCCCCAAACCACAGCGTCCGGAGCTGATGTGTCTTCCTTTCCATATGGAAAAAGGCCCAGGCAGCAACTCTGGGGCCAAGGTGGTCAGTTGCTGCCTCCGTCCTGACACTGGCCTAGACCCGTCTTCATGGGAAAAGTGGTTTAATGCTTTTGACCTGGGGCAACCCAAATTGTCCACAGCAAAGACATGTTTTCCCCCTGAACAAAGCACTCTCAAGTCACATCCTGGGCCTGGGACTGTTTTGATGACGTTTCTCTGCCCTTCCTTTCCGTTAGTTACACTTAGCTTCGACAAGCACCTCCCCCCTCACTATGTGAGAAATAATTCAGAAGACTTAACTCTGTGTCTAAAGGAAAGAGAACATGAGGCTGATGGGCCCGCCCCTGGATGGTAGATGCAGATACTGAGTTCCACAGCTGAAACGCATGCTGCTCATTCATGCTGTGGAGATGCAAGGGAGGCAGAGGAACCATCACCCATGTGAGGGTTGCTTCAGGAGCCCAAGGCCCTTCAGAGCTCGAACCCTCAGACGCCATCAGCGACAGGAGCAGGAGACCGTGCGAGAGGGTCTGCCTCAGCTTCGCGGGTAATGCTGGAACGGCCCTCCACCCTAGATGCCAGAAAACTAGACCTAGGCCCCCACTTGCTGCTTCTCAGAAAAGGCAGGCATGACAGTGACACGCACCTGGTGTGTCTGCTCTTCTGCTAACGCTGCAGACTTGGCCATGACAAGTGAAACACACCTTAGAGATGCCCATTCTCACTGCCCCAAAGTCAAACCCCAGTTCGCAGTGTAAGTCAAAAATCAGTTGTGAAAGGCTCTCCGAGTGGATTAATTTTCAACAGAAAATTTTATTTCAATAAATACTTTTTCCTCCAAACGACAACTCCAGTTCCACGGAATTAAAAGCACATCCTAAAAGTAACTTGAGAATGCTCCACGTCTCAATTTTGCCTGAGTGAAGAATAGGGTTTGGGCCTGAAAAATCTGCTGAGGGCCTGCACTGCAGTCACACGCGTAGGAAGTCATGGCAATAAGACACACGGAGAATGGACTGTCTCTGGGGCGTGGGCACACACCCACGCGTGGGCACACGCACACATGCACATGTGTGAAACTATGTATCTGCGCGTGGACTTGTAAAATCATGAACTCTCCCCAGTTTCATTTCTCTCTCATCCCTCTGGGCTCCCAGGACTCCAGCACTATCAAGGGTTTACACAGACGCCTCATCACACATTGAGCCACTGGGGGATGCTTTCCTTACACCGTCGTGCCCTACGTGGGCAGAGCAGCAGGCCTTCAATAATCAGGCGAGTGTTCTGCGTGGCAACGGAGGTGGCACAACCCTCCCACCATGAGAAGCCTGCAACACAACACAGACACCCTGTGGGGTTTTGGGAGCTGGAAAGTGTTGATGGACAGAGCTACGGCTCGGCGTTTTTGACATGGAAAATAATACTTTACCACCATCCCAGCCAGAAAGGCCTAAATCCGCCACTACAAAATAAAATTTGTGTCTGAAACTTTCCGTGATAAATAAAAAAGTTGGCCGTGCCCCTGCCCAGGGAAGGCCGGGAATGCTTCTGTCGGCCACTGAGCCAAAGCCGAAGAGCGGCCGCAGACAGCAGAATGCCAGTGGCTGTGTGAGTGCCAACTGACACAGCAAGCAGCGAAATCCCACGGGCCAAAGGGCAGGCTTCAGGACTGTCCGTGTGTCGACCAACTGCAGCAAGAACAGCCTGGGTTCGGCTGGAAGTCCCGTGGGAATGTGATTTTCCAGCTCGATGCCAAAAGTCCTCTAACGCTTCGCTAAAAACAATCACATTCCGCTTCCATCAAGAGGGCTTTGTGAAACACAAACAGCATGAAGCCCCTTTAAAGCAGGGAGCCAGCAAACGAGCGACGACAGCCTCACACATCATTAAATATAAAGCAAATTAGTTCATTACTTTATTACATTTTAGTGCTTTCTTAAAATAAATATGGTAATATAATATCAAACATACAGTGAGAAATAAAGCACACGTGTGAAAGCATGTAGCAGGACACTCCCCCAGGACTACCACTTGGCGCTTGAGAAGTCACACAGCCTTCAGTACCTATTTACAGGACAGAGTGGCTACATCGAACACGGTATATACAGATTTGCAAGACTGTACTGCTCTCCCAAGGACCGAGGAAGCTGAAACAGGACCTGCACGTCCTCCTAGTGTTTGTTCCGCGTCCCTCCCTCCCCTATGTACAAAACTCACTCCCCTTTGTCTACCTAAAATTATGTGACACTTACACTTGTCTCTAACTTCTTCTCTCTATTGATCTTTAATTTTTTCTGTAGTTCAAGATAGATTCAAGTAACACTCTCAGGGAAATATGTGCAAAACTAACACAGGTGGCTCCAGAATCTTCCAGTAGCTGGTCAGTCATGGTAGCGTCTTGGCAGCCATGGCAGGCACGTACCTGTTACCTGGGAACATCTGCCCAGAGACGTGTCACCAGCACTGGGACCAAGGTGGAAAGAACCCAAAGCCAATTCACTTACTTGGAATTCTGAAATAGCTGCAAATAACCACTTAATTGTTTTTAAATAGGCAACGGAACAAAACCCTCAATCTAACCAAGAGCCGCACTCCTAAAGCACACCGTTCTTCCAGAAGCATCCAGACGGGACACGCTGTGACCTCGCAAACCACCAAAGGAACGCAAGTGCATCATCCTTCAGGAGAAACATGCTCAGAGTGAAAGACCTGTCTTTATTAAAGTGAACCACCATCAGAGCACTACTGGGAACAGAGTTCCCGCCGGCTGCCGTGGCTCAGCTGGTGCCAGCAAGAGGGAGCGTACCCATGTGCGTGACAGGCCCTCAGAAGAAATCGCCTCCATATCTGTAAACGTTATTTTAGTAGAAGACAGACCTAGCTGATTTCAGTGCTTTAGTGAACTGGTATTTCAGTAAACTTTTTCTGAGCAGCAAGAAACAAGGATTTTTTCAGAAATCTTAGAACTGGATACAAACATCGGCAGTAGACATAATCAATCAATATCATACAATTTCTCAAATGAAAAAGATTTCCCATTATGAATTCCTTTTCCAAACATTCAAACACCCCGACCTGGGCTCAAGCTCAGTCCTGTAATCGCATGAGATCACAGCTGGCCCACTGAGGGTGTCAGGTCCTGTGGGGGGGGAGAGGCAAGAAGGCAAAGAGACCACGCCCAGCCCATATGGAAGGAAACTTCAAGTAGGGGCTCTGCGGCCCAGGGTATGCACACACCCCTCAGCTGTGAGTCCCGGGCTAGCAGTGACCACGGCACCACGAGCCCCTGAACACACGCTTATTCCTCCGTTCTCGCTCTGCCTGGCATCCCCGTGAGAGCTGGGAGGAGAGGGGCTTTCTTTTGTGGTCTAGAGGACCCTTTCAAGAGGTCTGCAACTGCACGTGTCGTACTCAAACGGATGGAAACAATAAAGAGGGCTCCCCGCACGTCCTCAGGCTGGCCGTGCAGGGTCATTTGCGAGTCTGGGTCTTCTTGGGCACTGCGGGCCGCTTGGGCTGCCATAAGTGGTTGTGGATGGTGAGGGCGTCCACGCTGACCGACATGGTTTTGGCTGGGATCAGGCTGAACTGTTTCCGGTCTGAGCTGTACTTGTACAGCTTGTCGATCATCTTCTTGGTGATGTTCTTTGGCCCCGTGCCTGTGAGCTTGAACATCTCCTCCGTGTCGGGGTAGTAGCAGTACAGCGCCCGGAACTGGCAGCCAGCATCACGGAACAGGATGATGTAGTGGTTGGCGTCACACTTCTCCAGCTCCTGTAGGGGGTGACAGGAAGAGACACACATGCTGCAGAATCACACCCGTGGCGAGAAGGCCCCTGCCCCTGGCCCCTCAACAGGGGCTGCCCCAACGGGGCCACATCCAGGGAGCTCCACGGGCGAGAAGAGCACCGCACATGCCAACCACGGACTTCTCAGCTTAGACCACGAAGGCACACCTGTCCGATGGGGCTCTGCATGTCCTGAGGCTCCACTTAAGACACCCAGGCAAGGGGCGGGCACTTTTAGGGTTTCATGGAGAATCCCATGAAGGACCTCAAAGCCACGAGCCATCAGAACCTCAGTGAGATGTCACCTCACACCCGATAGGACGGCCACAGTCACAAAGACAGAAAGCACCTAGGGGATGAGGGGAGGACCATGGTCTTCACCGGTGGGAGGCAGAAGGGGCAGCCACCGTGAGAGCCAGCTTGGCAACTCCGCAAACTGTTAATGGATAGTTGCCACATGCCCCACAACTCCCCTTTTCCGTATATACTCAAAAGAACGGATATACTTCCACACAAAACTCATGTATAAATGTCTGTGGCACCTGCCCTGCCCTAAGGGACCTGAGCCTAACCTCTGGTCCACTCGTTCTCACCCATCCCGGTGGGCCCTCCTCAAGACCCCAGCTCTGTCCCAAGCAGAATGTCTTGGGTTTCTGTTCGTCTAGGTCCTTCCCGTCAAAACCCTGCTCGTCCTTGAACTGCCCCAACCCCCACAGCCAAGGAATGGCATGTGCCATGCCTAGGAGACAAGCATCTCCCTGTGTCAACGAGAAGAGAGCCAGTGCCAGTCTTACAGCCGGGTGCCTAAATGTAACAGAGAGCTCCCATGTGTCCATCCTCAGGAAAGTTTTTTTCCAGAGAGCCCCAACTGACAGCAGGCCCTTCTCCACTGCGGGCTCACGCTCACCTCCAGAATGGAGTTCTTGTGGGGCTCGTTGACCTTCCCAGCCAGGCAGCAGTGGGACACGGCGTTGTGGATGATCGGCTTGTTCGACTTGCTGCTGGGCTCCTTGAAGAGCTTGGGACCTGAAGGGCCAGCCCAGACGGGCACTGTTAATGTTTTAGAACGCACATGCACACGTGTGCATACAAAAGCAAGCCAAAAACTTCTTACAAGCAAGCAACGGGCAGGCTGAATTACAGAGATGCATGGTATTTTGAAAATAGAAAGGGTCACTTCAAATCTATCCCAAAGAATTTCATGTTACATGTTTCTTAAAAAAAACCTAAGTGATTAATAATGGATCCCCTTTCTGGTCTCAGTTTCTTTACTATAAAAGAGTCAGGACTAGGAAATGCCTTGGTCAGTCTAAGGATCCAGGTCCCAGGATGCAGCGCTCACCACAGTAGGCCTTGACGCCGTGCTGCTAAGCCTGCCTGAGGCAGCTGGTGACCAGGGCCTTCAAGCCCCTGCACAGCGACAGCAGGTGGCCAGGAAGGGCAGGGCAGGCCTGAGAGTGTTGACCAAACAGCTCGCCTGTCCAAACACTACAGAGCTAAAAACCGCTCTTCCACGAAATCAAAACACTTTTGTAGGAAAGCACCTTCAGACCAAAATAAAGATCAGCTATTTTACAGAGCGCCACACTACACATGCCACATGCACGGCGACCTCCAGGAAAGAGGGCCCGTCACCTGTGTACTCAGCCACCGAGGCCAGGGATGAAGCCGCTGACGCGGTCTCCCAGTCGCGGTCGGTGCTCCTGCTGGGGTTGCGGCTCAGGATGGGCAGGGCCTCCAAGGACTCCACCCTACGGAAGGAGAGGACAGGAAGCAGGTTGGCGCAGGCCACGCCTCTCCTCCCACTTGCCACCAGAGCAGGAGGTGCCTCCAGCAGGTGGGGGCTCACATCAGCACAAACTCCACACAGCACGGACACTCTGGGTAAATACAACAGCCCAAATCCCCCAGCCTAATGAGCGCCAAGACAGCTGGGCACTGGTCCCAGCCCAAGGGGTGCACTTCACATGGCCTCGCTGGGCACCAACCACCGACAGGGTGAAGACATGGCAATGAACCCCTGCTGCTGGCTTGGGAAGCCCAAGGCAAAGTCTGGGCTGCCTGTGCTGCCAAGCAAGGTCTGGGACCCAGGGACAAAGGCCACAGCAGGTCAAGTCTGACACCCAGGCCTCTGTGACACTGTGACCCTGGCAGGCCTGAGCAGCACCCGGCAGGGAAGTTTCCAGGGAGTAGTGGTAGCCAGGGGATCCGGGCCAGGGGCTGGACAGTCACTCAGAAATGCCAACTGCTGCTCTCACGATGGAGGAGACAGCTTTGGGCCTCAAATCCGGCCCGGGAAACCAACTGCCAGAGTCAAACTCCAAACAGAAGCAAGAGTTCCTCAGAGGTGTTCTCCACAAGGCCCACAGGATGACAAGAAGCCCAAGACATGCAAGAGGGTGGGAAGACGGACCAGTCACCAAAGCGAGCAGTGGCACACCCTTGCTACACAGGGGCACACCCTTGCTACCACAGTGCCAACACCTCGTGTGGAGGAAGTGCTGAGGGGGAGCTCCTGGGGTCACTGACGCTGACACTCTCGGCGCCAGCCCCGTGACCCCCAACAGGCCTCCAGTGTGCCTCGAAGATCACTTTCACTCATATGGCCAGCAGGGGCCAGCCCATGGGGACCAAATGCACTGAGAAAGACACACCCTCATGTCCCCCCCAGAGTGCATGACCTGGGTCCAGCATGGGGACCCACATGTGAAAGGCCGGTCACAAACAATCTGAGCGTTCTCAACATCAAGGCTGAGAAAGATGGAGTGGAGCCAAGGAACCGACTGAATTAAAGGAAACTATAGAGACACAGCATTTCAACTCAGAACATGGGTGGAAACAACATGCAAGTTGTCAGGGTCACTGCTGACCCACTGTGCAACAGTGACACCTGAACGTCAGTTATGGGTCAGAAAAAGTACCGGTTTGGTAACTGTGACTGCACCAGAAAATGCTCTTCTTCCAGGAAATATACGGAAGCACTTGAGGAAAAGGGGCCAGATGACCCCAACACCGTGCATGCACACACAGGCCTGGACAGCAATAGGCCATGTCACCAAATGCAGCCACCTGGTGACCCCAGGAGGAGGGCATTTCAGAGTCCCCTGTGAAGTCACTGCAGCCCTTCTGCCAATGTGAATTCATGACAGAGCTAGTTACAAAGGCATCTCCCATATGATTTCTCACATAGGCACTTGGGGCCGACCTCCCCAGCACAGTCACTGCAGGCCCTTACCGCTGGGAGGGCGTGCCCCCTGAGTGTACACTCTCGGGCTCTGTGGTTGCTGCGGAAGCCAGGGACAGGCTGGAGCCAGACTGGGTCCGGCTCAAGTTGTCAGCTGTAGGAGACAGACACGGAACATGGGAGTAAAGGGCTGTCACCAGACGAGCATGCTCCCTGACCTTGTACCCTGACTCCGACCCCCACAGCACTCTGCTGGTGCCATGTTCAGCCCGCCCTGGACCACTCTGCACCCAGACACACCTAGCCACCTTGGAACACCAGCACTGGGCCTCGACTTTCTCACCGGTAAGCTGGGAGACTTCCTTCAATCCTCCCCATTCCCCAATCCCCAGTGGCCACAAGCGCGCGCCGAGGCCCTTACGGGTGGAGGAGCACTTGGTTCCTGAGTCGCTGCATGACTCTTCCCGGTGGACTGACTTGGGCCGCGGCTTTTTCGGCTTTGACTTGGACTTGCCGAGCCCTTGCTCCTCCAGGGTCTGCTGCTGCTTCCTCCGCAAGTACTCCTGCTTGATGAGCTCTCGCCGGGCCTTCTCCTCCTCCTTCCGGATGCGGTCTTCTTCTGCTTTGCGCCTGAGAGAAAAATGTGTTCAAGACTGTCCTAATTAGCCGGGTGTGGTAGTACACACCTCTAGTTCCAGCCACCAGGAGGGTGAGGCAGGAGCACTGCTGGAGCTGAGTTTAAGACTGCGAAGAGTCAATTTTGCCACTATACTTCAGCCTGGGTGACAGCGAGACCATGTCTCCAAAAAAAAGAAAAAAAATTTGAAAAAGGCAGCCTGAGTTGCAAGGGACTCTTCCATGGGCTCACCACCTCCAACACTCGGCCCGGGCACTTTTCCTGAATCCCCCTGGCCCCTGAAACTGAGGGGGGCTGGTTTCCACGGGCAGGACCCAGGGGCTGAAAGGATGAGTCCTGGAGTCACTGGGTGTTGCCCACCCACGCTAAAATGTAGCCTCGCAGCACAGTGGTATGATGGTGGGGCGACACACAGGCAGCCTCCACATGAAAGCAGGGATACAGCACGTGGGCTCTTGGGGCTGTCATGGAAATTTAGGGAGACAGAGACGGTGCTTATGCCAGTGTGTGGCACACGAGGCCCTCAGACAGCCACTGCCGTGGACAGCGCACAACTTGAGGAACAGGAGGGAGCTGCCCTGACCGGAATGCGCCCCTGCCCCCACCCATCTGGTCTGCTTTCCCATGGCTTCAGGACGTGGGAGGCCACACGGGGGAGGTTACCGGGCCTCATCCCGCTTGAGTTCGACCTCTGCCTCAAGTTGCTGCTTCCGCATGCGTGCCTCTTCGGCCTTGCGCTGCTGCTTGAGGAGGAATGCCGCCCGCTTCTTGGCAAGCTCATCCTCTGCTTTCTGCTCGTCCTACGGAACAGACACCACAGACACATGACAGGAAACGCACTGAGTGGCCCAGCACAGCCTCGCTCCACCCAGCAGACTCCGATGCACACTCAGTAAGGTATAACACAGTTAGCACTCCATTCTTGTTTTTTTTTCTCGCCAAGCTACCCGGGCTGGTCTCAAACCTGCGGGCTCCGGTGATCCTTCTGCCTCAGCCTTCCAAGTAGCCAGAACCACAGGTGCACTCTACCACACCCAACTAATTTTTTATTTATTGTCGAGATAAGGTCTCGCCAAGTTGCTGGGCTGGTCTTGAACCCGCAGGCTCAGGCAATCCACTCACCTTGGCCCCCCAAAGTGCTGGGATTACAGCCCCTTTCTTGTTTCTAACTGACGAATAAGCATATCATTATAGATTCTAAAATACAGCCAGGTGTGGTAGCTCATGCCTGAAATCCCAGCACTTTGGGAAGCCAAGGCGGAAGGATCATTTGAGCCCAGGAGTTCAAGACCACCCAGGGCACCATAACAAGGCCTTATTTCTACAAAAAAAATAGAAAAATTAGCTGGACATAGTGACACATACCTATAGTTCCAGCTACTGGGGAGGCTAAGACAAAAAGATCACCTGAGCCCAGGAGGTCCAGCTGTGGTGAGCCATGAGCATGCCCACTGCACTCCTGCCTGGGCATCAAAGTGAGAATCCAATTCAAACAAAAAAATATTGTGTTTGCATTTTTGAAGTCCATACCCCAAGTAAAGCACACATCTTTTGATAAGACAGACCTGACGACACTGTACTGTGTCATCCAGCTAATGATTGCCAGGAGGGAGAGCAGGTGCAGTCATGTTTGGCATTAATAGCAGAAAAATGTCCTGAGAATGTGTCGTCATGCAAATATCAGCACTCAGTCAAATATTGCACTCACAATCCCATGCGGTGCAGCCTACTACACACCTAAATGTGGCACAGCCTACAGTTCTGAGACCGCAAACCGCTGTGTCTGTGCCAAATGCTGCAGGCAACCACGCCCCAGCAGGAAGCTGCCATGTGCCTAGCATATCTAAACCCAGAACAGGTGCAGGAAAAACACAGTGTTATGACCTCACAGGACCACAGCTGTTGACTGGGATGTCATTATGGGGCACATAACTATACTATTAAACAGAACTTCCCACAATTTATATTTCTCTTCATCTCTAAAAAAAAAAAAATTACAAAAAAGATGCAGAGAAAAACAAAAGCTGTGTTCGGTAGCTCCTTTGTCCAGGCTCTCTGAATCAGGTTGGCCAATGTTGGCCCGCAGGCCACATCTGACCCCCACCAGCTTCTGCAGAGACTACTAGCTACAAGTACTTTTACGTTTTTAAATGGCTGAAAAATTACCAAAACAAACATATCTTGTGAAACATGAAAATTACATGAAATTCAAATTTCAGGATCCACAAAAAAAGCTGTGTTGGCCACGGCCACGCTCATTTACGTCACGCTGCCTGTGAGGCTGTGCGGGGAGTGCAGGCCTCAGGACAGAGACATGTGTGCACAGAAAGCCTGCAGGCCTGGCTCCGATTCCCATTCTCTGCAACACCTCATGACCACTGAAACGAATGCTATGCGCTGTTTACCTTGAAGAAGAAGCCGACCCCTGGCTTCTGGTCGCCCTCGCTGACCAGGTCCGCGGAGCCATCGAGGCTGGCCACCTCCCCATCCTCATCAGGGGCCTTCAGGTCCGAGAGGTCCACCTCGATTAGGCTGGCCTTGCTGCGCAGAGGCTCCTCCGTGGGGACGCCCTCCCTCCCCACGCCATCCGGGGCATCCAGCTTGGCCTCCTTCACATTTACCTCCAGGCCCTGGAGGCTCATCTGTTCCGACACGATGTTTGTATCTTTGGGAGAAGGCAGGACGAGGGTCCGCTGGTTGCTCGCGTCATGGAGCCGGTAGCTCTCAAAGAGACACTTCCCATGAAGGTCCCCACTGGGCTCAGCGGTGCTTTCCAAGCCTGTCTCTGAGGGTGTCCGCGGGTGGCCGCTCGGGGGGCAAGGCCTCAGGTGTGGGAGCGTCTCGATGCTGGGCGTCGGGGTCTTGCTCCGGGAGGGGCCCTGCGGCCTGTCTTTCGGGACTTTCAGCTCCGCAGGCCTCCCAGGACGGGAATTCCGGCCCTGGCCCAGCCGAGGGGGTTTACGGTGGCCAGTCATCCCAGTGGGAGACAGCGGCTCCACAAAGTGGATAGACGCCTTGGCCTTGTGGTCCTGGGAGCCATTCCTGGAGCCAGGGGCTGGCACCGGGGGCGCCTTCATGAGCAGCTGCTCCTGCTGCTGCGAGATCCTCAGGATGGCCTCCTGCAGCGTACTGATGGTCTCACCCAGCTTCTCGATGGACAGCTCGCACTCGCCCACATCCAAGGCCTCGCCCACACCCCCTTCCAGGAGGGTGGCCGACAGCGCCTTGCTCTTCTCCAGCTCGTACAGCGTGGCAGGGTCTCTTGCCTTGTGCTGTTGGACAAAAGCCAGGCCCTCCTTGTCCACATCCTGAGGCTCTGTGCAGAGGCCTTCCCTCTGCTCCTCCTTCCCAAGAAGCTCCTCAGTTTTCAAGACCCCATCCCCAAAGTCCCCCCCATTGTGCTGAGGGCCCTCCTTGGCGCTGGGCTCTGGCTTAAGAGGGGCGCCGTCGGCCTTGCCCTTCTTCACCACGTGCAGGAAGGCCGCCTTGCCCAGCCTCAGCCGCTGCCGGGCCGACAGCGCCTCCATCTTCTTCTTCTGGGCCTCAATGGCCCGGCGCTTCTCCTCCAGTTGCATGTGCAGCTGCACCAGCTCAGACGCCAGCAGACTGGCAGGGTCCTTGCCGTGCCTGCCCGGGCTCTGCTCCCGCTTTTGCCTCCATGTGGTCAGCGGGGCTGGGCAGCTCTCCGACGCATCTGGTGTGGTCTTCTGGGAGCTGCTGGTGCTGGACTTAGTCTCGCAGCTGTTGAGTCTCTGGAGCTTCCGCTCAGCAAAGCTGGTCATCCTCACACTCCCGCTGGCCACAGAGACACTGCTGAGCTGGGAGGTGGTGCTCAGACACGGGCTAGAGCGGCCGCTGGCGTCATCCTTGTCATCGTGCTCCTTCACCTGCATATCCTCCTGCAGTTTGGCCGACTCCTCCTCACCCAGGTAGCGAGTAAGAACCCCCGGGAGGGCCTCACCCAAGAAGCTGTGCTCTACCTCCTCGAGGTCCATGCCATCAGAGTCAGAGTCCTGCCGCAATAGGGTCCATGGTTCTGCATCATGGGCACTGGGGCTCTTGGAACGCCCGACACAGAGCCTACCCTCTGTGTCTTCGTCGGCCCTGCCCATGTGAAGGAAGAAGCCATCGGCAGACAGTCCCTGAGGCGATGGGCCGAACCCACCCACGGTGGGAGGCCCACTGTGCGCTTCTCCAGCACCTTCTGCAGACTGCGGGCCTGCTTCCATGGGGTCCACACCTGTGGGGAACTCTGAACAAGGAAGTGGAGTAAAAGTCCTAGTCACGTCACGACTGCCAGTCACCTTCTTTCGTACCAAAGGCTGACGGCCCTCACTGGGCCTCCTGGGTGCAAGGCTCCTTGGCCCACCTTCTCCAAGTTCATCTGCCTTTGTAATCACCTGCTTCTCCTTTGCAGGTTTAAGCACTGCCGGCATGAGGGGCTCCAGGAAAAAACTGCCAGGCTTGTTCTCAGAGGTGTCCACCTGTCCCTGGGGAGCCCTGGCACCTGCCACCAGGCCCGAGGCCCGAGGCGAAGCCCTGGGGCCCTCCGGGTCCAGGCGGTGAGGAGCCACATCCGCACGGATGATGGCCACAAGCTCCTCCTCCTCATCCTCCATGTTGACATTGTTCAGGAGGCTCTTCCCATTGGCCTTCACGGCTGGGGGGTGTGGCTGGTTCTGCGGGGTCAGATGGACAATACTGGATGCCAGGCTGTCCTTGCTGATAGAGCGCGCCAGGCTGACACTGTCACCAGAGCCAGGATCCACATCGCAACTTGCGGCATGATGGAGAGCAAAGGGCGTCGGCTGGGACACAGGTCTGAAGCACAGAGAGAAGCCTGTTAAGCACACCACACACACAGAGACCACCTAACAAAACCAGGTGGCAAGAGTGCCAGTCACATGGGAGAATGCCAACCTTACAGGCAGATCTAAACAAACCCTCCCCCAGAGATGAGTTCGGGATTCTCAAACCAGAACCCGATACCCTTAAACATTCCTGAGGACCCCCAAGAGTTCTTGCATATATTTATCAGTGTCAACTTCTACTTATAATACCAGAAATTAAAGCACATTTTCAAATGCTGATTAAAAATTACAGTAATAAGCCCATTACATGAAAAATGACTATATTCTCTAAAACAAAACAATCTGTAATGTATAAAGGGGCGCTATTTTACACCACTGCAACTCTCTGATGTCTGCAGAACCCACATATCTGATTCTGTCTGTTACAATACCACAAGTCATGTGGCCTCTGGAACATTCCACAGTATCCTTGTGGGACAGAATAGAGAAAGGCAGCTACTACCCTAGGGTTGCTACGAAAATAATTTTGACCTCTCTCTGAGAGGTCCTGGACCACATCTTAAGAACTGCTGTTCTACCGAATGGACATTCCAATCGAAACACCTTTGAAATGTGGATTCACCTGGTTTTTTTTTCTGGCCACGCTACTGCTGCACCTCGTGGCTGACTGTCGACCCGGGTTAGAGAATTAGACCGATGCCGCTGATCTGCAGTTCAGAGGAAACAGTGATGCATTCAATGTTAAGTGACCGATTTTATACCATTCAAAGTTCCTTCAATAACAACCATTTCTCCAGGAAACGAATCATGATTCAGTGCACCAAATGTGCTCCAAGGAAATCGATCCAAACAACACAATTTCCATTAGTCTCAAGGATAACTGTCTTATAACTCAAGTGATCGGTCCACAACATGAAATAAAGCAGCCAGAACTGTAATTGGCCTTCAAGATTCATGAGTTCGTGCTTAAACACAACACAGTAATTCTGTGTATACTATATACAATTAATTCACTAACTTTTAATGGCATTTCTACTACAAAGCTATAAATTATAAGGTATATCAATCCAAGTTAAAGTTTATTCTGCTATATAGTCTTAACTAAATTTACTACATCGGAATAATTATTCTGAGAAGTATTTGGCCAATCTTCTGTAAGACAAAATCAAGGGCAAGGGATGCTAAGAGAAAGACAATACTCTTACCAGGGGAGTCCTCTCCCTGCATCGTCTTCTGCTGCTTCTGTCTCAGGGGGAGGAGAGGGTGGGACGGGCTGAAGGCTGCAGCTCCTCTCCCACTACATGGAGAAAGAATTCAGAGAAAGTCACAGTTCATCAAACTCAAGGTCAAAAGAAAGCGCAAAAGAAACTACAGAGAACCATGAATGTACACCAGGCTGTGAGAAACTCACGGATTTTTTGAGAAAAACTAATTCCTATAGAAATGAACCATAAGAGTACCAAGCATTTCAAATTCTGGATGAATAGCCAAAAACCACTATAGGGATGCAATAACTACTGGTTACAGTCTGTCATACAACCAGTTTCAAATCTGAACAGCCAAATTCAAGTAAGCCATCAAGGGTATCTTCTGAGATAAGAAAAGTAAAAATAGACAGTGATCTTTTGGAAAGTAGTGATTTAAAAATTGCATCTTACTGGTTCAATAAAAAAAGAGAGAACCTCAGAGATAAAACAGATCACAAAGACCATCCCACTATATTAAACCCCAATCGTGAAGATAATGGTGAGGAACTTGAATATGAACCCACCAGCACAAGAAGCAGGGACATTCCCACACGCTGGTGGGAATGCGGACATGTGCATTTTTAGAGGACAAAATGGCAATATCCATTAAAGCTCTAAATTATTCCCACTTTCGCGACTTAAGAGAGAGAGTAGCAAGAGGCACACACAGCACCACAGGTGCCCTCTCCTGGGTAGGAGCCCATGGGAAAGGCACTCACCACATGAGCAGCTGGCACAGGCTAGCTGAGTTCAACACCCAGCCACCCGCTGGCACCCGTCCACCTAGCAGCAAGCATGCTCACAGCATAGGGTGGTCATTTTAGCTGTTTCACTGCAGAGAGAATTTGGCAAAAGAACAATTCCCAAAAGAGTGGGTAGGCTGGGGGAGCCGCAGGCACCATGCCCAGGCCAAAAGAGGCAAAGACAGGCAGAAGTCACCAGAACCAGGAAAGAGGGATCAGAGACAAAGAGAACACAGTGAGAGGGCTGCCAGGAGAGGCCTGTGGGCATAGGAAGCCCAGGAGCCCAGTTGGGAGTACAGGGTTAACTACACAGGCTGTGCTAGGCATATGGTGTGTGCCCAGCAGCCTGGACACTGGTGAGCTGCTCAGTGGACTAAAGAACGTCATAGTGTGACAGTCTAGCTAGCTAGTGAAACTGCATGGTTGAAGAGTGTTCACCTGTTGAGTGTGGTGGCTCACGCTTGTAATCCCAACACTTTGAGAGGCTGAGGCAGGAGGCTTTCTTGAGCCCAAGAGTTTGAGACTAGCCTGGGCAACAGAGGGAGACCTCTTCTCTACAAAAAAAATATTAAAAAAGTAGCCCAGCTACTCAGGAGGCTGAGGTGGGAGGATCGTCTGAGCCCAGAAGGTGGAGGCTGCAGTGAATCAAGATCACACGAATGCATTCAGCCTGGGCAACACAGTGAGACCCTGACCACAAAAAAAAAAAAAAAAAAAAAGAATTCACTAAGCAGGAAAACTCTCACTGGTGATATTAGGTGAAGAAAGCAAGTAACTGAACAGTACGTGTATGTGACATCAATTTGGGAAGTAATCGTCCTGTCCACATGTTTACTGCATATGTTGCATTTGACAATGAGAAGCACATACTGCAGGAAGAATGCTGCGTGTCCACATGGCCACGTGGTAAGTGTGCTGCTCTGCCTCGAAGCTTTCTCCCCACTCTACCCCTGCGTGTGCTGACAGGGTCCAAGCCCCAAGTCACAGACCCCACCCATACTACTAATACAAGCTCCAGGGACACCCAGGTCTCAAAGCCCCACATAAGAACATGTCCAGGCCCTCCCAGTCACATCCCAACCCGGGCCTGTGCCCCTCAGATATGCTGGCGCCTCAAGAAACAGCACTACCTGCACGAGCCCAAGACCCAAGGCCTGTCAACAACACCTCCCTCTCATCCAGCGGCCCCACCCTCAACCATTCAGTCCCATTGTCAGCTTTGTCTTCCATCAAACAGCCTGAAAAGAGTGAGTCCATCCTACACCATGCTGTCTCACCATTCATTTACATGGGTTATTTAAAGTTGCTCTTGAATACTGTGTTAGTCTTCAGTTCCAGGTCAACCTCCACATTCTGAAATGGTTTTCAACTTTAGAAATACCTCCTGCCCACGCAGTGCGGGTGTAATGGGCCCTCCGGCTGCGCATACTCCAAGTGAGGGCTGCCTCTGCCTCTGTAAATTCTGGGAGCAATCTACCCCAGACTCCAGGTCCTGGTGTGAAAAATGTCTTCAAGTATTCACTGTCTAAGCAACTTGACTGTGGTCCAGTCTTTCAACAGCTCTACACACTTCTCCCCAAAACCAAGTGAGTCCTCACTGGTGTGAAGGAAGCACACTGAGCTCTCCACCACTGAGCACTGTGAGCAGAGAACTCATGTGGCCTGGAGGCCCTTACCCCTTGCATCCCGCCAGACCAGGGAAAGCCACATCAGCTATCATCAACCCTCCTCTCCCTTCAGATCATCTTCTAGCAGTTTAAGACACGAAGGGAGAGGGGAAAGAAACACCTTCTCCATAAGCAGTGTCAGAACTAGATGCCCAGCCCTTCCAGAATACTGAGTCAAGCACCTAAGAGGCTGGTGTCACTCCTGGCCACTGGGGAGGAAACTGAGTGACCAGAGAGGCAGGGCAGGAAGAAAATCTTTTACAAGCTCCTGTTTTGTACTTTTTGTATCACCTATTTTTTTAAAAAGATAACTTCAGTTAAACTTTTCAACTAGGCTGGGCACCGTGGAAAGCCGAAGCAAGGAGGAGCGCTCAAACCCAGCCTGGGCAACACAGCAAGACCTGGTCTCTATACAAAAATTATTCACGCATGATGGTGTGCAGCTATAGTCCAAACTACTCAGGAGGCTAAGACAGTAGGATCACCTGAGCCCAGGAGAGCAAGGCTGCAGTGAGCCATGACTGTGCCACTGCACTCCAGCCTGGGCAAAAGAGTGAGATCTGACTGAAAAAAGCAAAACAAAAAAATCTGAAATAACACAAAAAAGGAAAAAAGAAGGTAAATTAATTCTGAAAGGACAAAGACAGACTCACAGGTACTCTGGGTCCTCGGGATGCAGGTAGTGCCTGTGACAGCCTTCCATTGGCAGCTGTGCAGGGGGCTGCAGGTCAGCTGGGCTCCCCGCCGCAGGGCTGCCCAGGAAGCTGCGTTTGGTTGCATTGGAGATGGGTACAGGAGGTCGGCTGCTCTTCTGATGTAACACTGTTTTAGCTGCAGAAATAGCAATTTTACAAAAATCGGTTATTTACACAAATCTATTACTTACAGTTACTTGCAACACTAGCAAGAAGCACAGGAAAAAGACAGCAGCTTTTATAAACACTGAAATAACTCAACTTTTACTGAAATCAAACTTCTCCTCAAAAGCTGACTTCAAGTCTTACAAATGTATTCTGTAATACCCAGCACTACAGATATTGTACCAAAACAAACGCCAATATTAAGACACAAGAACCTACAGGTGCGTGAGCCCAGCTGACAAGGCCTGTTTTGGTCACCACTCAGCACCACATTGAAGCTCTCCACTGGTGTACTGCTACCACTCATGTGCCACCCACCCCCACACCTGGTGCTGTGCAAAATGCCACAGCACCCACCCCTCGGGAGGCCCACTGCCCCTACTCCACACAGTGAGGGGCCGAGGCAGAGCCAGAAAGGCCCTGTCCAAGTCCCATGTGCAGGAAACTGCTCTCATGGGTCATCTCAGCCCAGTCCCATGAGGTTGGGCCTGGCGTGAGCTCCACTCCCCATCAGCCACTCCTGCCCACTTCCTCCCTTCCAGAGGCTCAGCCCTGAACAGGGCCCCTGCCTCTGAGGGTGCCTCCCAGAGAACCAACCTCTGGTAAGATGTGGGGCCCAGGCCTGAGACCCTTGCCCCACCCCATAGCAACAGGTCCACCAGTAGGTGATGCACCTGCCAACAGCCTGTAAACACAGAGGAAGAATGTGGAAGGGACAGCAGGTGACACCGCATCACGCTGCTGCAGGCCACAGCTCTGTTGAAGGCCACAGCACTGCTGCAGGCCTGGGGAAAGGTGAGGGAGGGATGGGAAGAAGCAGTAGGTGACCAAAGCTACAAACGAAAGCCAGGGGCACCAAGCTGTGCTCCCTGCAATAGGGCTAGGAATGAACAGCTCCCAGGGAGGTTGAACCCCAGCCCAGGAAGGATGTCATGCCAAGGTCAGGCCCTAGATGGGAAGGAATCAGACCTGTAGGATACAAACTTCCGGACTCTGAAATCCTCAAATTCCCAGAAACTCTTGGAGCTTACAGAAGAGGGCTCCTCCCTGCTGAGAGCCTGCATCCCTGCTGCCCACGCCTAGAGATGAAGCAGAGGCTGCGCTCTCAAGATGACATGCCCCCCCTCAACACATTATAATCAAATCATCAAAGACAATTTTGAAAGCAGCAAGACACAGGCAACTTGTCACAGGCATAAGAACTCCCACCAGACTACCCGTGGGTTTCTTAGCAGAAACCTACAGGCCAGAAAGGGAGTAGGATCATGTAGTCTGAATGCTGAGAGGAAACAAAAAAAAACAACCAGGAACATGATACCCAGCAAGGCCATACTTCAGAAATAAAGGAAGATAATGCTTTTCCCAGACAAACAAGTGAGAGGGTTCATCCCCAGCAGACCTGCCTTAAAAGAAATGCTGACTTCTTCAAGCTGAAGAGGACACTAAACAACACAGAACATAAGAAGGCATGAAATCTGTTGTAAAGGTAAACGTACAGATAAAACAGAATTCTACATTACTATAACAGTGGGGAAGGATGAGTTTTAATTATAAAAGTTAGAAGACAAAAATATTAAACATAACTACAATTATGTGAATGATTACAGAATAGACAGTTGTAGAACTGTGGCATCAACAGCACACAGTGTGAAGGGAAAGAGGTCAGAACTGAAAGCTCCTGCATAAGGTGAACGCGAGCTGTCATCAGCTTCAAAGAGACTGTGACAGGAGATATTATGTCATAAAGATGGAAATAATAGACAATGGGACCTCCGAAGAGGGAGGGACGGAGTGAAGGGAGGGGCAAAAGCGTTCCTACTGGATGACTGGTACGCTAGAAGTCCATTATACGATATGCCCGTGTAACAAACATGCACATGCACTCTTGGAATCTAGAATGTAAAAAAAAAAAAAAAAGAGATTATCTTATCTAAGCCCAGGTAACTACAAAGAAAATATCTAAAGAAGTTACTCAAAAGGAAAGAAAAAGGAAACAGACTTATCAATACAAAAACAAGAACAACGAGAGCTACAAGACAGACAAAACAGTTAACAAATGGCCAGAGAAAAGCCTTCCCTATCAATAATTACTTTATTTTTATTCTTTTTGAGTCAGATTCTCACTCTGTTGTCCAAGCTGCAGTGCAGTGGCACACTCAGGGCCACCATAGCTTTGACCTGCCAGACTCAGGTGATCCTTCTGCCTTAGCCTTCCAAGTAGCTAGAACCACAGTCATGTACCACCACAACAGGCTAATTTTTTGATTTATTGTAGAGATGAGGTCTCACCATGCTGCTCAGGCTGGTTTCAAACTCCTGAGCTCATGCAATCCTCTCGCCTCCACCTCCCAAAGTGCTGGGATTACAGGCGTGAGCCACTGCACTTGGCATCAATACATGAAAATAGATTAAAACTCACCAATAAAAAGACAGGTAGTGACTATATGGATTAAAAGCCAAGGTCTAACAACATACTATCTACAAAATATCTACAAGAAATTCATTTTAGATTAAAGGACACACAAGGCTGAACATGAAGGGGAAAAAAGATATTCTGTGTAACTAGTAGTCAAAAGAAAGCAGGAATGGCTAAACTTTGACTCTAAGTCAGAAACTATCTCTCGAGACAGAAGGTCATTGTATAATGATAAAAAGGTAGATTCAACAGGAAGATATAACAATTATAAATCTGCATGCATCAAACATCAGACCTAAATGTATAAAAGCAATACTGACATCTGAAAGGAGAAACAGAATTTCAATACTAGTTAGTGACTTCAACATCCCACTTTCAGTAATGGCTAGAACATCCAGACAAAAAATCAATTTTAAAACCAGAAGACTTGAGCAACACCACAGACCAAATGGACTCAATAGACACATGCACTTTCCAACCAAGAGCAGAGAATACGCACTCTTCTCAAGTATGCACAGGCCATTCTCCAGGATAGAGCATATGTTAGTTACAGAACAAGCCATAAAATTTTTAAGAAGATGGCCAGGCTCGGTGGCTCAGCCTGTAATCCCAGCACTTTGGGAGGCTGAAGTGAGTGGATTGCCTGAGCCCACAGGTTCGAGACCAGCCCGGGGAACTTGGCAAGACCTCATCTCCACGATAATCAAAAATTAGCCAGGCGTGGTAGCATACTCCTGTAGTTCTGGCTACCTGGAAGGCTGAGGTGGAAGGATCAACTGAGCCCAGCAGGTCGATGCTGGGGTGGCCATGAGCGTGCCACTGCACTCCAGCCTGGGCAATGGAGTAAGACTTCGACTAAAAAAAAAAAAA